TACTTAAATAATTCTTTAATTAATATACTCGTATGAATGCGAGGAAGAAATATTACGAATTTATGAGTTAACCCAAGTCATGAAATGCGGTACAAATACCTCACTGGTATATAAATATATGGTTTACATATTATGCCTAAGGTTCATTAAAATACTAAAACGAAGTTGCGAAAAAAATGGTTAGCGAATTGAAATACTTTAAAATGGCCGAATGGACCAGAGAATATATTTCTAATCCGGATGAAGTGACCACAAAATGTTGTGGATATCCAGTACTTGATTTTAATTATGTTTTCAGTTTAGGAGGCTTATCAGGTTTAAGCTTGAACCTGTTATGCTGTTTTTTGGATATCGGTAATGCGTTTTGAATTAATTAAGATAAAAACAAATTTCACTTAATACTGCTTAAAAGGAAAGGCAAATATGTCAATTTGTTTTCGTATTATGAAGTAGAAGTCCGGTACTTGATTTTTTAATTTTCTTTTCAATTTAGGAGGTTTGTCAGGGTTAAGCTCGAACCTTTTTACATTTTTTTTGTATTTCGGAAATGCGTTTTGAATTAATTAAGATAAAAACAAATTTCACTAACTATTGCTTAAAACGAAACGCAATTAATTCAATTTGTTCTCGCATTATGATGTAGAAGACTGGTACTTGATTTTTAATTTTCTTTTAATTTTAGGAGGTTTGTCAGGGTTAAGCTCGAAACTTTTACACTTTTTCTGGATTTCGAAAATGCCTTTTAAATTAATTACGATAAAAATAAATTTCACTAAAAATTGCATCTAACGAAACGCAAATAAGTCAATTCGTTTTTTTTTAACACAGATACACTCACAAAAATTTAATCACTCGGACCCAGATAATCCATTTGTAGCTAAAGACGTGACTCATATACCACAAATTAAGTCACAGTGGAGAGCAGTCAAGAGCTTTTTCATAAAACATATTTATAACAATTCACATTACATTATTTCATTTACCACTAATGAAAGCAGAGTTAATAGCAACCTGACTTTTTAGATACGATTGGTCGAACAGGTTCTAAAACCGAATTAGTACGCCCCGACTTCACGTAGTCTTGTCTGCCCTACCCCTAGAGTGTTTTAATTTTGTAAAGCCGTAGGCACGGAGCGAGAACAGCCCCCGCTGCTGTAGCAAATCGCATGCCCCTGAACGAGCCGTAACGGCTGAGGCTGGTCGCCGAAGGCGACCAATAAGCCGAAGCTGCGGAGACACTGGCTGACACTCTCACCACCGTACGCAAGTACCGGATGTCTATAGTTTAACCGGGGTTAGGTTTTCAATTTGGCAACCAGCATATTGCAAATGGAGGACATGCGCCTGGTAAACGCCAGCAGCTTCTTCTCATACTTTTGGTTCACTTACACGTAGTATTTTAAGTTTTTGAAAATTTAAACTGATAGCGCGATGCGTAGATTGCGACGCGAGCGGGATGGGTCACAGTATGTCTGCCTGCATACGTGTTCGACTAAGACTCCGTTTGCCGTTCGCAAAAGGAATGAATGGAATAAAAGAAAATGAGTGATGGGGGTTATAGGAAATTTAATTCGTCAATACAATTGTATAAAAATTCAGGAATATTTCAATTGGCAATGTGGCGGTAATAGCTAACTTTACTTAAACCTGTTTAAAAGTAAAAACTTAAGATCTATCTAATTTATATTATATGATTCTTATCTTTTTAAAATAATTTTTATATTTAATTGAAAAAATAACTTAAATAAACTACGGAGAATAAATTTATTTTTCATATATCGTAGATAAAAGTATTAAAAATCGACATCGAAAGGTATTATGTGAAATATATTTCTGTCATTTTACTTATTTACAGTTGGCTTTACTAAAAGTGAAAACTAAAATTATAATTTTTTGACCCTTTTAAATGAACTAATGGATTTTTAAGTAATGTTTATTCAATCTGGACAAGATATATTTTTATCACTTTATCTTGTGTTACACGGATTGATTGCATAACGCATATAATACATTACACAGTGTATTTATTTCACACCATCCTTCCACATCAGGTTCACAACTCACAAATTAGTTTAACTATTTTCCTCTATTACGTTTTAAGATCCATAATATTTGTTATCCCTTAAAATAATCCTTAATTGTTTATTATTTAAAACTGTTTAAAGAAAAAAAACACAAAAATAAAAAAAAAATATTCTGGATCTTGTTGCTTATCTCGGTATATTTCATGTATGTGAAATTCCCCACGATTTTTCTATCAATAAATAAAGAGTGTCTTTTACAAAAATTTTATTAAGAGAATATATTATGTTAATTATTCTATATCAGAAATTCTGGCAGCAGTATTTTTAGACGTCTCATAACCTTACCTATTAAGGTAGAATATAAAGCGGATATCATGAATATCGCAAGCTCAAATATCGTTGAAATATTTAAAAAAAATTCACTCCCTATTTTAAAAAAACAAATACATAAAATCGATTCTCTATATACAAAAACGTACAATCAAAATGAGGACATTGTTCTTATTTCGAAGTTGGCTAAATTTGTAGAGTTTCCATTTGTCCGTTTGTTACCCTTTTGTCACAGTAAGCATTTTGATTCTTCATCGAGGACAAATGTTGACGTAAATGTCATAGGCTTCGGCATGCACTTACCATCAGATGAGCTGTGTGCGTGCTTTTTACCATTATTCTATAAATATTATTCTATAAATAAATAGCAAGTGTGAGATTTGCATAGTTGAAGATATATTAAATGATTAAGTAGTGCAGAATGTATTAAAATGCATTAAACATTTGTGTTACAAATATATTGAATTAAATAAACATTCAAACACACGAGTCAAACGTTTATTTACGTTCAAACACAATTCAAACACTTAATAAGTCCGGGGTCAAATAATCGTACTTAAGCGGAGATCTCTATTCTAGAGCTTTTAGCTTTTAGCTCTAGAACCAAGATTAATGCTTGTATGAAATTGTTATAAATGAGACGTCAATTAATGTCCAATAAATACCTATAATTTATCATACATTAGAGTAAGCTAGATTTAGAAATAAATAAAGGTAAATCATACCAAAGCCACAGAGGATTACTAAACTATAAGTGACGTTAATCGACTTACCCGCATCTCTTTGCTTTTACAACAAAATCCCAGAAAATATACCAAACTTATCAATAATCAAGTTAATATATATTATTAAAGGAAAATTTTACAAAAAAAAAAAAGATTATATTACGATAAATAGAATACATAAATGAAATTAACCCCTGGGAACGAAGTGATCGCTACAATGCTAATTCTATTAAAATACAATTCAAAATTGTACGAAAAATATTTTATAGTGAAATATGTTTAAAAAGGTCCGGCTGTGTTTCTTGTTAGTTCTTCCTAGGACTGTTTTTCGAAATAGTGGCAAATAAAAAATGACTTTCAATAAGTATTCCATTCTATTCTACTCTATTCCATTCTGTTCTATTCCATTCCATTCTAATTCATTTAATGCCTTTCTATTTTATTCTGTTCTCTAAAGGATTTTTAAAGATTATTATAAAATATATTTTATTTAATAGACTTTGATAACAGAATAATAAATGTAACATTTTCCTCGATATTACAAACTCATTTTGCAGTGGTGGCGTAAAAAGTCCACCAACCCGAATAATCCTGTAGTTGCTGTAAGAGGTGATAGAGAAAAACTTAAACAGGTTTATTGACAGCGGTAACTTTCTGATAATAATTCAAATAATAAAAAACTGTGGACGGCAAACCGTCTGTGAAGTATAGCAAATATGGCTAATATATCCCCTATGTGGATATCTATGATGGGGGGGGGGGTATAGGCCTTTCGCGTGATGAGAAACAGTGGTTATGATATTTTTAAAAAGAACTTTTTCACACTTTACAGATAGAAACTAGTTCGTCCTTTAGCAGGTAAAGTTAGTAGTCGAAAGAATATCTATGGGAGGACTAAGTATGGGAGGACTTCTTGTAAAAGGAGAAGATTGTCAATGGTAATCAAAGTAAACAATTATAGCCTATCACGAGCCCTTTGGTGAACATAGAGAATGATGAAATCCAAAAATGAAGAAACAAAACTCTGTCCTGAGCCACTCGTTTCCATCGACTTCCTGCATGATCGTTGCTCTATCTATTGGGGAAAAAATCTTTACTTCACTTAACGCTACGAGCATGCCTGTTGAGAACTTTTCTTCCCAATTGGTTGTCAATTTTTCTAGCTAATGGCCGGCCCATTTTGAAATTTTTTTCAATTTTTAAATTCAAAGATAGTCAAAAATATGACTTTATTTCTTTAAAAAAATATCTCAAAATACATTGTCTAAGTTAATTATGTGATCTTACAGTTTACGTAACAATATGCTATGTTGATTCCTTTTCTTTTTAAATAATTCATCTGTATTTATTTTATAGGAAACGGAATAAAGGTGCTAAACGTTTGGTTGTTTTCTTTTAATGCTTTAATATTTTAAACATTAAATTTAAACAAAAACATTGCATTTATCAAGAACAGCTAAAACGATAATTTTAAAATTTTTAATATATAGATATTTATAAATATATAGATAAAGTAAAATGTAAGCTCAGACATAGTAATTTTGCATTATTAACTATTTGTTCGCCTGACGATGTAGTTCGTGTTATAAATTTCGCTACATCTAAATTAAAACTACGTCTCGAATCTGATGTTCCGCTTGAAAAATCAGTTCAAAAAACGTAACCAAGATAATCAAGATATTTGTTAATGGAAACTATAATTGAGAAGCTTATATTTAGTTTTCTGTTTAACTACTTGTGTATGTATTTATTTAATTAATGTGAGTCATTGTCATCATTGTTGTTACCATCTATATTATAGTGACCATGTGTTCTAACAGTCCACGGGTGAGCACAGATTGGGCTCTCATAATTGTCACAAAGTACTCTTTTGAGCCACATTAATCGATTTTCTAATATTTCATGAGGTTGTTTATGGGAGATGAACTCACAAGAAAATACTTCGGTGATTTTAGATCCTCCAACTACAAAATTACCTACCACAACACGTACCGCGGGCGGCAGAATAAGTTTGGAAGACATGCGTAAATGTGTGAATGAAAAATGAACTGAATGAAAGAAACTGGAACTGGGCATATAAAGGTTTGCTTCCATTCTCGACATTCTTGGGTTCGTAAAGACTTCTATGTCTCCTTGTATAACGAACACTCTATTTTGAGCTTACCGGTAGGATTTTGCCACTACCAACCTCTTTTTTATAGGAATAAAAATAGAAGAAGAATAAGAAAGGATTGTAGGTGACAAACGAGCATAAAGTCCACTTGATGGTAAATTGATGCTGTGACCCATAGACGTTTACATTTTTCCCCAATTAAGAATCAAAATGCAGATGAACTAAGATGGAATATCTTGTTTCTAATAAAAGGTTATCCGGTTCTCTATACTCACGATACGAAACACAGCAGCAATAAGCTGTAATTTTACGCTGGTATTATATGAGAGCCTGGTCCTACCCTGGTCGAGTTATTATTAATTATTCATCTAGGAACTTGTACACTTAAGTAGTTTTAGCTACAGATACTAGTTTAAAATTAAACTCGATTATTTAGGCAGCCGTATGATTTTTAGTTGCTTGCTAGTCTAAATTAATAATTAGATAACCTACCTAGTAGGAGTGAAGTTAGAATATCCACTACCCCATATCATCCCGTGCATTTCCTGAGAGCGTCTTAAGGAAACAAATCGGGAGATACGCAGCAGTCTTCCTATCAACTTGCCAAGCGTAGCAACTATGTCAAATAAATATGCGAAAATCTATGAAGGAGACCTATATACAGCCACTGCTGTAATTTACTGCAAAAAAGGCCACTGCCTTTAATAGGTTGTAATGACAACAGTAACATTAACCGTAATTAGAGGATTAAGGAATGCACATTCATTGTTTTAGATTTTTATCGATTCTGCACTAGATTTGATTTTAGTAGTATGTTAATTATTTTTCGTTATCGTTATAGCCTACTGCTGAACACAGGTCTCCCCTAAAGATTGCATCATAAGGACATTTGGCGTAGTTGCCTCGCTTCAAAAGCCAGATTCAAAAAAAAAAAGCGGTTGCAACCGCAATTATCTTTTTTTTTTTAAATTACTCAGTGATCATAAAATTATCTAATTCAATTGATTTAAAACTTGCAATTTGTTGTAGGTAGTCTTACAAAAAACGTAACTTCGACTGTGCTATAATTCAAATTGGTGCGCGAGTGAGCTGTTATACCAATCCCAATACCCCTATCCTTCACACCCTATACTACGAAACTAATCACTGAGACTATTTCTCCTCATAATGGCTCGTTTAGAGGTGAAACACGTGACGTCTTTTTGAAGGTGCTGTGTCTTATCTATTATAAAAAAATATTTATTTTGAAGGATAGCAATTTATAACATAAGTACAATGCGGTTTTATAAGAAAAAAATAAAGAATTAAATATATTAACTTTGGCTTCTCAGTATGTTTTCGAAAATTTCAGAAAATCAAAAACAGTTTGTAATTCAATTAAAAATTCAAACCGCTGAAAAGTACATTATTTATATTAAGCCCTGGGAACGAGGTGATCGCTACCATGATGTTTGTACTTAATGTATTAAATATAATAATGTGAATTAATAATTTAAACTCTCAAAAATAGGCGCGTACTTGCTGACATGTCCTTTTTACACGGAATATGCAACGGATATATAGATAGCCCTGAACTATCAACCAAAATACTGAGTTTCTGCGCCCCGAAAGTTAAAACGAGACACACAAAATTATTTGCTGTAACACGATCAAAAACAAATTACGCACAAAACGCATTGGTCAGTCGATTGCATAGAACTTTTAACAACCAATTTAATGCTACTGATATTTTTCATAGCAGCAGGTATCTGTTTAAGAGGGAAGTTCTTGAAGTACTCGAAGGAAATGGTTAATATGTATATTGCACACACACACACACACGCACGCACGCACGCACGCACGCACGCACGCACGCACGTACGCACGCACGCACGCACGCACGAACGAACGCACGCACGCACGCACGCACGCGCACGCACGCACGCACGTACGCACGCACGCACGCACGTACGCACGCACGCACGCACGCACACACACACACACACACACACACACACACACAAACAAACAAATAAACGACGCACGCACGCACGCGCACGCACGCGCACGCACGCGCGACGCACGCACACGCACACGCACACGCACACGCACACGCACAGGCACACGCACACGCACACGCACACGCGCACGCGCACGCCACACACACACACACACACACACACACACACACACACACACACACACACATACACACACAAATATACACACGCGCGCGCGCGTACACGGATACACAGATCAGAGAGAGAGAGAGATTTCGCACCGTTTTTAATCTTTAATTACTAAAATAGAATGTTTTGTAGCTCAAACTTATTGATTGTCGGTCAATTAATATAAGTCAAAAAATGTATAAAGTAGATCCGTTATTGGCTGTAACTAACTGTTCGCAGACTGCAGACTTCCCGGAGCGTCATGTTCAAGATCGTCCCCACCATTACATTAGATTTGATAAACCACAAATTCTCGCAAAAGAACACCGATTCCTACCAAGGATGATACGCGAGGCTATTGAAATTAAAAAACATCCAAATTTCAATAGAGAAGATGCTTGGGTGCTACCATCTGCTTGGGATCCTATAATTAACAAAATTAAACCCAAACCCAAGCATACCACTGCAAGACTTCATGATACTATAAGCTCGTTTTGCGTAAATCAGACCAAAAAAAATTAATATTAAAAAACTGAAGGTAGCCGGACTAACTATGACATTGGGACGTCAAACATCTCCAGTCCCCCCCCCGTGACCATGGGCGCTGTAAAGCACCCGAAACGTCGGGATAATAATAAAAATAAATTAAAGTAATTAAACGCGATAAAATCCGTAAATAATAGTTTTATTCAATGTGTAGTGTTCGCGTAAATTTAAGAAATCATTATATCAATATCTAATCAAATTCTCACAATATGGTGTTCAATTTGTTTAACTCTGTTTTCTTACATAGCAAGTAAATATAAACAAGAAATTTATTACCAAGTCCCCGCCTAAATGTAAATGTAATGCTGAAAAGTAAGGAAAAATGGCACCCTCATAGACAATTACGTCCCGCTGTAAGCGTATCTTAATCGCCTCGGTGCTCGTCAATATCCGCATTATCCCAATTTAGAGGTCGACACTAACGAGGGTAACTTTTTCTGGTTCAATGTTGTATAATAGGTCAGAGTTCTTCATGGGCATTGGTTTTTGTTTAAATTAAATATAAGAACGGTAATAATTGTATTCTAAAATAAAATAATATTTTTTAATGAAATTAGGATTTATTTTAATTTATAATAAAATTAAAATGAATAATAATCGTACATAACGGACTGTAATAAAAAATATTGCACTTTAGTTAAATTTCAAGGTCTATTTACACCCATTACCGTTACAGTTCTTCACACTGCTTAAAATAGCCCCATCCCTTGCTATCGCCAAATAATGCCACAAAGCACATTCCTGAGTCACCTGCATCCATCAACTTTCTGCATGTTTTACCGGGTTATCACTCCATCTAGTGGGGAGGCGCTCACACTTCGCCTTGCTTCCCTATCGAGCTCGCTGAGCGACCTTGAGGTTCCTCACTAGGCCACTTGGATTCATAATATATACACCATATATATTGGACACACACCAAGCATTTTATTTCCTGTTACAAAACTAGCGTGCACCGTTTAAATGATGTGTAATATTCTGGCTCTGGAACGGCAAGTTACAAACTATCTGTGTACGGTACACAACGAAATCCAATGGGTGATGATAACGTTCAAACTATGCCAATAAATAAAATTAAAGTGTCAGTTTGAAATGTCAAAATAACAGCTTTTATCAACAATACTTATAACAAAAAAAAAACTTTTCTTTAAATTTTTTTGCCTATCTGCCTGTCTATCTGTTGATTTCAGCTAATCTCCGAAAGGGCTGAAACGATTTCGCGGGACTTTCACTGGTAAATAAGTGTAGTTATAAGCAGGCTACTTTTCCTTTAGAAAAATAATTAGGGTTACGTTCAAAAAAATTACAAACCATATGAAATCCAATTGTAATAAATTCCACTTGGTTGTGGTCATGGAAAACAGCTAGTACTCAATAAAATAATTCATGCAACATTTGAAGCAACTTATCAAAATTTGTACAATTAAGTATTTTTATACTAGCAGAAAGCAATTCTCTTCGCTCAAAAAAGCTCGTGCGATAAACAAGTAGTAGCATATTTTGTTGAAAGTTGTTTGCAGGTGCCCAAATGCAGTAGGCATATACCATTAGGTGGATAGTAAGTTCAATTTCCACCACAATTTTATATATATAAAAAAATATTTCTTCATGATGTTTTCCTTCATAGCATGTCAAGGCGCTTAGCCCTTGAGCTACTATGGCTCTAAAGCCATAAATACATAAAAATAATATAAGGAGTCATGTGTGTGTGCGTGCGTCCTTGCGTTTGCGTGTGCGTGCGCGTGTGTGTGCATGTGTATATGTGAAGTATACTATAGGCTTTATCTTTTTTTATGTCGGATCATTTCTATTCTAAGTTTTTTATGAGAGCCAAAGAGTAAGTATTCAATTCAAATTAAATTAAATAAAAAGGGTACTAAATATAGTACGATATTAATCAATATAATAAAAAGATATTTCCCACTATTGATATTTGGCACTAATAAATATAGAAGTTTCTGATGCCGTGTTGACTAGCTAAGATCTCCTAAGTCCTAAGCCGCTTTTAGTGGCACAAGATTAAGTTGGACTGGAGCCGACTAAAAGCTTTAGTTGCTTACTCAAGAAGTAATTTTCTAATTTCTTTTTTGAGTCTCGAATAAGAAACTAAAATTTTAGTTTTTAGAAACAATTTTCTACGTACATGACGTAGAAAGTAAAAGTGGCACCAATACGACTGTGTGTATGCAAAGGTAAGTTTCCTTTCTTTATTTAATTTGATCAAAAAGGATCATAGCGTAATTTCATAGCATAATTCAATCCAATGCAGCTTATAAACGTTCACTGCTTAACAAAGGTCTGCCATAGATTATCTCATAAGGAGGATGTTGCAACAGTTGCCACGCTTGGCAATCAAAGGCTTTTATTAGTTTTAGTCATTATCAGGAACGTGCCGTTACCCGTATTCTGTTTCAGATTCCCTCCTTCGCCTCTTATCAAACCCAAAAGATAATAATATGCGCCGTAATGTTATATATATACATATACATACATAAGTGTTATATTACCCTATATCGACACATTACATTGACGATACAGTCAGGCGGTAAAGTAGGTGTGCACAGAAATTTTATAGGTAAAAAAAATAAACGTGCCATATTTACCTAGAATGTTGAAAGAATAGTACAGTTACAGACATTCAGAAATTAATTAGTACAGTTAGGCTGACTTAGTATATCCTAGAAATATTTCATTTCCTAATAGGAACTAATTGTAATGCATCCGACTTTCCAAAACCAACATTTTATATAAAGTTATTTTGAGCACTGTGGAAGCTCAAAGGCAAGGTGCTCGCCGGTGGGGTGCGAAGTCAGAAGTCCTCCACGTGTGCCTGGTAGTTGCGAGTCCCTCTCGATACGTCTGGAGGGAAGAGCAGCTACTGGGCCGGTGCACCCTGGGCGCGGCGGTAATCTTCCTCGAGAAATGAGAAGAAATTCTTATTCCTTGGGGAATGTTGCTGCCGCGACTAATTAATCTGACATGAGCGGGGTCCGTTCCGGACCAACAGTGCGTTCCTCTGCGTGACCCTCTGATCAGCAGAGGGCATAGCAGAGGAGTGAGGGCGGGCTCGGTGTGCACTTACCCTGCCTCCGGGCAGACAGTGAAGGATTCATCCTTTGCTGTCACCGCCGGTCTCGTAATCCCAGTATCGAAGTGTCGTGGATCAAGTCTCGCGGCTTTGATAGGGACCGAGGGTCTTGGCTTAATCACCCGGACCGCGAGGGAGAAAACCTCTATAAACAGTTACTCCGAATCCCAAGCGGCGATGCACCGCGAGGGGATGGATGGCTGACGGGGTTCTATGAATAAATCAGCCGCTAGTGCGCTCCTCGCCAGGGTACCTGCAGACCCCCTGGCGAGTAATAAATCCTTAAATTTGCTTACCTTGGTACAGGGGTCTCTGCCAAGGTGGACCTTTAATTCCCCCATAATCGTGGGTACAAAAATGGAAACAAAAAAACAAACAAACAAAACCGCCTGCAAAGGCAACGTAGAGGAGAGGAGGAACGATGCGGGAACAGAGTCCGACGCCGCATCGAGCAGCGTGGGAGGCCCAGAGAGCTCCCGACGCGTGGGGCCTGGGACCGCGGAGAACAGTAAGTTCTTCCGCAAGCGGTCCAGGCTGGATGGCGACCAGGGGCCGTCATCCGGTGAAGAGGTGGTCTCGGCCCGGAAAATCCCCACCAACGGGCGGGGCAGGCTGAGAGGCAAGGGGAATGCCAATCAGAGGGCCGAACGAGCGGCAAAGCTTGCCGAGGAGGGGCGCCACCCGGGCGATACGGCTTGGGTATCAGGCGAAGAGACGAGTGCGACTGGCGGCTCCGAGGTGGAGCGTAAGGCCAGATTCGTAAAGGAGGTGGAGGCCGCGATCAAGGTCGTGGCCTATAAGCAAACGCCCTCCTCGAAGTTTAAGGCCATTCCCGGGGCCTCCGCCTCCATCATGGCGGCTGCGGAGGCCAACTTTGTTGGGGCCGGGCCTAATGCGGACGAGGTGGCGAAGCTGCGGGCGGACGTGGCCCGCCTGACGTCCACCATGGAGACTCTCCAGAAGGAGAACGAGAAGCTCCGCGCAGACCTGGCCAGTCTACGTGAGTCTGCCTCTTGCGCGGTGCCCCAGCCGCCGCGCCCCAGCCCGCCCGTGCCGGGGGAGAACCAGGTTCTGAACCTGGTCCGGCAGGAGCTGGCTGCCTTCCAGCACCGGTTCCCCGTGCTGGAGGGCATCGTCCTGCGCCCCCCCCCCCCGTAGAGTCAAACAAGACGGCAGCGAGGCCGGCAACGGTCTCGTACGCGGCGGCCACGGCTGCCGCATCCAGGCCGCGGCCATCCAGCCAGCCCTCGGGCGGGGCTGCAGTTGCCCCTCCCCTCCCCTGAAAAGCCGGTTCCGGCAAATCCGGTACCGGCTGAACCGGCTCCGGCTAAGCCGGCGACGGGAAAGAGGGGCAAGACGAAGGCGAGAAAGGGCAAGACGGCAGTACAGGTGGTGGCTGCAGCAGCCCCAGTGCCTGCGATGAATGTGCCAGCGCCAGCGGCAAGCCAGCTGCCGCCGCCGTCACCACCCCCCAGCTCCCTACACCTCCCGCGGCTGAAGCCGGTTGGCAGGTGGTCGGGAACAAGAAGAAGGGGAAGAACGCAGCCAAAAAGGCCAAAGAGCAGGAGCGGCAGCGCCTGCTCAGGGCGCGCAAGATCGCGGCTAGGCTCCGCGCCCCGAAGACCGCAGCTGTAGTGATTACACTACAGCCGGACGCGGAAAAGAAGGGCGTTACCTACCGCGATCTGCTCGCGAAGGCGAAGGAGGCGGTGGATCTCGGGGAGCTCGGGATCACCGGGGGCCTCCGGCTCAAAGTCACCCAGAAGGTGGCCCGTATGCTGGAGTTCCCCGGGGAATCCAGTGGCGCAACCGCGACGCTCTGGCTGCGAAGCTCAGAGCGTCTCTGGACGCGGACGATGCCCGGGTGTCCAGGCCCGTCAGGTGCGCAGACCTGCGCATCATGGGTCTGGACGACTCGGTATCGGAGAAAGAGTTGGTGGCCGCCGTCGCCAGGTCCGGGGGTACACTACTGACCAGGTCAGGTCAGGCGCCATACGCCCGGACCAACAGGGCATGCATGCCGCCTCGGTGTGCTACCCTGTTACGGCGGCCAAAACCATAGTGGAGGGCCGAAGGCTGCTGGTGGGCTGGGTCTCAGCGCAGGTTAAGCTGCTGGAGCCCAGACCTCTGAGGTGCTATCGCTGTCTCGTGGGGCACCACGTATCAGTGAGATGCCCCTCGGAGGTTGACCGCAGTCGCCTGTGCTTCCGCTGCTGTCAGCCCGGACACATATCGGCGACCTGCTGCGCCACGCCGCACTGTGATGCATGTGCGGCGACCGGCAAGCCAGCCGATCACCGGGCTGGAAGCAAGGCCTGCGTGCCACCCGCCAAGGCCAAGGCCGCGGGGAGGGGAGGGCGCTCCGCCGCCACCGCCTCTGTGGCCTCCGCCGCAGACGCAACTGCCGCCGCCACCGCTGTCAGGCCCCTGCCTCGAATCTTGCGGGCAGCGGGACGGCAGCGGCGGCGGCGCGGGAGCGGCAGGATCTTATGCGTAAAATCAAATGGACCGACTCTCGAAAACAGCGGCTTGGCAGCGGCGCGGGGGCGGGTAACGAGCGGTGTACTCCAGTCAAGCGGTGACCGCCCGCGCGTCCGCATTGCATTGTTGTGCAATTAATTTTTGTGACGTTTCGAAATGTCCTCGGACGTGCAAGAGGAAATTATTTCAGCAATTTTTGAGAGAACACCGATATGGAACAGCAAAGATGTGAACCATAAAAATAGAAGAGTAATTAACCAGTTTTGGGAAGAAATTAAGAACGAACTGAATATTGAATGTAAATATGAAAATGATTTATTATGTCAACAAAATGACTAGTAACTAATGCAATTATCTACAAAATATTCTTTGAATTTTTCACGTATATATTGTGCTTGGTAAGACGTTCGGGAGTTTGTTTGTGATCTTATTTGTATTATTTCTTGATTCATGTTGACATTAGTATAGGCAATAACATTATCACCGTCCTTATCTCGGATAATGTTATGCAACAAACAACTAGTTTTAATTAGTAATCTTGCGTGACATTTGTTTGTCTCTATGGGTGTTCTGAAAATATGCCATTTGGATCTTAAAATTCCGAAAGCACACTCAATAGTCTTCCTAGCCCGCGATAACCGCTGATTAAATAATTCATTTTGTGCATTAAGTACGCTTTGAGGATAAGGTCGCATCAAATAGGTTTTGAGTGGATATCCTTCATCTCCAATTAAAACCATTGGTAGTATAATATCTGATCCGGGTAGATATTGTGGACGGGGTATATTGAAGTTATTACTTTGAAGTAAATGGTTCAAATTAGAGTAATGGAATGTCCCTGCATCGCTTTGTTTTCCTCTTCCTCCAACTTCTATACAAATGAATCTTTTGTCAGCATCCGCGACGGCTTGTAAGTGCATCGAAAAGTAATGTTTATAATTATAATGCGATGATCCAGCAAAGTTAGGATTTTTTATTCGACAATGTTTGCCATCTATAGCTCCGACGCAATTAGGGAATTGACATTTTTCATAGTATTTTTCAGATATTCTTTTCAATAATACTTCTGTCGGTTTTGGCATATGTAAATCCACTAAATTTTTCCATATAGCTCTACACGTGCTATAAACTATGTTGGTCACCGTTGTTTTTCCCATTCTGAATGATAACGACAGTCTTTTGAAAGACTGCCCAATCGCAAAAAACCTGAAAATTAAAGCGTAGGTATGTTAAAGTTATCTATGTAATATACAGTCTGTTCATTCTTTTGTTTCAGTGACCGATTTAAAGAAAAAATGGAAAAATATAAAAGATCACTATAGAAAGGAATTAAAAAAATATCCTGCTCCTCGATCAGGAGATGCCGGATATGTTAATCAATCCTCGAATTGGCAATACTTTTCTCAATTGAGTTTTTTGCGAGATGAAATTCTACCAAATGTTACTGAGGGTAATTTAAGCAGCACTGAAACAAGTAATCAGATAAGTAAAGATTCTATTGCGATAGAAGACATCTCTGTAGAAAATTCTCAAGAAAATACAACCGGTCGTGATGAAGAAGCTTCTATTCATCCACAACAAGCTTCTACATCCTCACAAGGAGCTTCTATATCTTCACAAGAATCTACATCATCGCAAGAAGCTTCTACACCTTCAAGAGAAGCTTCTACTTCACAACGGTCAAGGAAAAAGAAAACAGCGAATGACATAAGGACTGAATTTTTAGAATTGGAAAAGAAAAGGATAAGACTGTTGGAAAATGATTTATCAAATCAAAGTAGAAACGAGACTTCTAGACATGAAAATAAGTCAGACGACTACTACTTTTTTATGAGTTTGCTTCCACAAATGGAAAAATTCACGCCAGTACAAAAGTATAGAGTGAGACAAAAAATTAATCAAGCTCTTCTAGACGAGATAAGTGTAAATGAAGAAATGTACCCTTCTAATGAATAATATATATGTGTGGGTATAATACTCAACACTAGGTATATCAACCTTATAATAAAAATACTCTCAAATAATAACAAAACTGTGATTGTAGAAATAACTAATCATCGTACAAATGAAAACTGTGATTTTAGAGATAAATGACTGTTACTGCGATTTTAGTTATAAGGTTATAAAGTTATAATCATCAATATTTGAAAGTGTTTCAAAAACAAACTGTTTTGTTACTTATTTCACACGTAACGTACCTATTTTATATTAAAAAACGTATTCGTCATAAATAAATGATTAAAGCTGATTAGTTTTTAGTAGGTATTTAATTAAAATGATTGCATCTGCTGTCAAATTATTTACTAAATTAGTGCACCACAATTTTTTTTGACACTATCAATAAATACAATTGCAAATTACAATTTCGTTGCTTTACTTACCCTAGCGTCAAGTATAATTTTTCTGCTGGAGATATACCTCTATATCGTTTTGGATTAATTACAGACTCTAAATCGCCCTTGATAACTTCAAGAATATAGTCAAAAGTTTCTACGCTCATTCTGGTGTAGTCGTAGAATTTGTCGGGACAGTGTCTCTGTTCTTCGTAATTTCGATAAAACTCGCCTTTTCTTTTCCTTGCCATATAGTAGGGATTCACTTCTACTTTTGCCCACAGTAAATCGAGCGTTAGAAATAAATTTGAATCAAAAAGATGTTGTCGCCGTTGTTCAGACATTTCGTTTGCAAATAAAAACAAATATCTCGACAACACAACCATGAACACACAACTACGCCGCTATAGTGTCGCGCGACCTGCCCGCTAGTTTCGTGAACGGGTCTGCGTTGCCCGCCTCGCTCCCGCGCCGCCGTCGCCGTCGCTCCGCTGCCCGCAAGATTCGAGGCAGAGGCCTCACTGTCGCCGCCGCCGCCGCTGCGACACCGACGCCCGCAGAGGGGCCTCCCGTGGAGGAAGCTGAAATGGAATGCCTATAACGGCACAACCACTGCGCCTGCGCTCAGGATCTGTTGCTCCAGAGCATGGCGCAGTGGTCGATTAACATCGCTGTGGTCGCTGAGCCGTATTTTGTCTGGCCTAGGGAGGACTGGGTGGCGGACCTTAACGGCTCAGTGGCCATCATCTCTTCGGCCGCCGCCGGTACTCCGACCCTTGAAGGTGTCAGGGGTGCGTTGCAGCACGGTTCGGGGAGTTCGTCGTTGTGGGGGTGTACTTCTCCCCGAACCGATCCCTCGCCGAGCTCCACAACTCTCTTGCAGAGGTGAGAGCAGTCGTCGTCGGAAGTTATCCCCTCCCCGTACTTGTCCTCGGGGACTTCAATGCCAAGAACTTGGCTTGGGGTTCTCGTCGCACAGATGTGCGGGGTAGGATGGTGGAAGACTGGGCTCTGGAGACAGGCCTGGTAGTCCTAAATCGGGGTTCTGTCCCCACGTGTGTGCGGATGCGGGGCGAGTCGGTGGTGGACATCTCGTTCGCTAGCCCCGCTCTGTCGCCACGTGCCATTGACCGACGTGTCATGGAGGGGGTGGAGACCTGCTCCGACCACCGGTACATCCGGTTTGACATCTCCACCCAGCCCTCGAGCGCGCCAGTTCAACAGGCCCCGAGTGGTCCGCGTTGGGCGCTGAAGCAGCTGGACCGGGAGCTCCTCCTGGAAGCCTCGATCGTACAGGCCTGGGTGTCATCCCCGGACAGGCCTGCCTACGTCAATGATGAGGCAGGGTGGTTCCAGGAGGCCATGTCCGAGATATGTGACGTGGCAATGCCCCGCGTCCGGCCAGGAAGCGCCCGGTGTCAGGTGTATTGATAGTTGCGCGAGCTGACGTCTCTGCGCGAGGCGTGTGTCGCCGCGCGGCACCTGTACGCCAGGCATCGCAGGCTCCGCATTCGTCCACCGAACACGGCAGCCATTGAGGCGGAGCTGTACGAGGGATACACAGCGGCGAAGACCGCCCTCCAGGAAGCTGTCCTGCGGGCCCGGGATTGGGCCCGTGAGGAGATGCTGGAGACTCTCGACAGAGATCCGTGGAGGCACCCTTACAAGATGATACGGAATAAACTCCGCATCTGGGCCCCCCCCGCTGACGCAGAGTCACAGGCCCCAGCTCGTGGAGGACGTGGTGAGCGCTCTGTTCCCTGCGCGAGGGGGAACATCCGCCCCCGCCTATGGCTTCGCCACCTGCGGTGCCGGAAACGGACCACCAGGACGACGACGACGACATCCCGGAAGGGACCGGGGTAGACCTGAGAGTGGCGGTACGTAAGCTCAAGGCCAGGAATACCGCCCCAGAACCCGATGGCTTGCCTGGCAAAGCCTGGGTCCTGGCCTCGGAGGCTCTCGGGCCCCGACTGGAGGGGCTCCTAAGCGCATTCTTGAGAGAGGCCAATTCCCGCTTCGTTGGAAGACGGGGAAACTGGTCCTCATTCGAAAGCCGGGGGCGCCCTGCTGACTCTCCGTCCGCATACCGGCCCGTGGTGCTGCTCGACGAGGTGGGCAAGCTCTTTGAAAGAGTCATTGCAAACCGCCTCGCCGAGCACCTTGCGGGGACGGGGCCGGATCTTGTGGAACACCAGTTTGGTTTCCGCAAGAGGCGCTCTACGGTGGACGCCATCATGCGCGTGAGAGCCCTCACGACGGGGGGATGCAGTGGCCAGAGGAGGAGTTGTCTGGGCGGTGTCTCTCGACATCGCCAACGCCTTCAACTCCATGCCCTGGAGCTGCATTAGGGAGGCACTCCGGTATCACCGGGTGCCGACCTATCTCCGTCGTATAGTCGGGGACTATCTGACGGACAGGGCCGTCATCTACCCCGGTCGCAACGGTGAGTGGAACCGGCGAGAGATGTCGTGCGGTGTCCCACAGGGTTCGGTTCTGGGGCCACCTCTGTGGAACATCGGTTACGACTGGGTGCTGCGCGCCGACCTCCCTACCGGCGTCAGCGTAGTTTGCTACGCTGACGACACGCTGGTACTGGCACAAGGGGGGTCGTACGAGGCGGCGGCGGAAAATATGACACGCGGGGTTGCGATAGTCGTTGAGAGGATTCGGCAACTGGGTCTCGAGGTGGCTCTGCACAAGTCCGAGGCCATGCACTTCCATGGTCCTCGGAACAGGCCACCACCGGGATCCTCAGTGATGGTAGGAGGGGTATCCATCGACGTCGAGTCGACGCTGAAGTACCTAGGACTCGTCCTCGACGGCCGATGGAACTTCGTTGAGCACTTCCAACGTTTGGCTCCCAAACTGGAACGGACCGGGGCTGCCTTCAGGTGGCTCCTGCCGAACCTGGGGGGGCCAAACGCCTCCTGCCGGAGGCTCTACGCGGGGATCGTGCGATTCATGGCCTTTTACGGGGCCCCGGTGTGGGCGCGTGGTTTGGCGCGGCTTGCCGTCCACCACCTGAACGCGCCCCAAAGGGTTGTTGCCGTGAAAATGGTTCGCGCCTACCGCACGATCTCCCGCGAGGCGGCGAGCCTCCTTGCCGGATTGCCGCCATGGGATCTGGAGGCGGTAGTCCTCGCACACCTGCACGAATGGCGCGCGGAGGTACTATGCCGGGGGGGAAACCCCGCTGCCGCGGCAAGTTGTCGCGCAGCGGACAGACTTCCGGCACGATCTCATGGCGACGTGGAGAGAGCGACTGTCGCAACCCCGTGCTGGGCACGCCACTATAGCGGCGATAAAACTCCTCTTTGAGAAGTGGCTTGAGAGACGCCACGGCATCCTCACCTTCCGCCTGACGCAGGTGGTCCTCACCGGACACGGTGTGTTCGGGAGGTTCCTGCACCGAATCGGGCGGGAGGAAACGCCCGGGTGCTCCCACTGCGAAGATCGACCGGAGGACACACACACCGTGGAGGTGTGCCCTGCTTGGGCGGAGCACCGCCGTGTCCTCGTAGCGGCGATAGGCGGCGGCGACCTCTCGCGTCCGGCCCTGGTCGAAGCCATGGTCCGGAGCGAGACGGAATGGGATTCCGTCACCACCTTCTGCGAAGCAGTGATGCTAGCGAAGGAGGTGGCGGAGCGGGAGAAGGAGAGAGCAGCAGCTTTCCTCCCCGGCCGCCGCGGGAGACGCCCCGGGCGTCGGGGGCTACGTCTTGGCCCCCGGCCACCGTAGGCGCGAGCCTGTGGACGACGAGCAATGGGTAGCTCGCCGTCCGTCCATCTAACGACGACAGGCCGTGTCGACGGCGCGTTTTGTTCCACGCGCGCATCAAAGAGCTGTCAGTATGAGTCAAATACAAATAATCTTGCATGAACAATTAGGTGTAAAAAAGTTGTTTTCCCGATGGATTCCGCCTTCGCTCTGTGAAGAGCAAAAAGCGGCTCGCGTTACATGGTGCGTCAGAACTCTCGAAAGATTCCACGCAGAATCCTCGAATGCTGTATACAACATCGTATCAGGTGACGAATCCTAGATATGGGCGTAAGAACCCGAAACAAAAAACCAGTCACGAGTTTGGGTGTTCGAAAATGAGTTAAAGCCAACAAAAATTGTTCGTTCATGGAGTGTTGCAAAAATGGTGGCCACGTTTGTCTCCAAAACCGGCCATGTTACGACTATTCCTCTTGAGGGACAAAGAACGGTTAATTCAGAATGGTATGCTAGCATTTGTTTGCCACAGATCGTTTCTGAACTCCGTAAAGAGAACTGCAACCGCCGCATCATCATCCATCACGACAATGCGCGTTCTCACACAGCACACAGAACAAAAGAGTTTTTAGAGCAAGAAAACATAGAATTATTAGACCATCTGCCGTACAGCCCCGATTTAATCCCTAATGATTTCTATACTTTTCCTAAAATAAAGAATAAATTGCGTGGACAGAGATTTTCATCACCTGAAGAAGCTGTGGCCGCCTACAAAACGGCCATTTTGGTGGACCCCTACTTCCGAATGGAATAGTTGCTTCAATGATTGGTTCCATCGTATGGAAAAATGTGTCAAATTTCGCGGAAAATACTTTGAAAAGCAATAAATACATTTTTAAACAGTA